AGAGGATATACTTAAGGACTCTCCTCTATGAAACAAGGTAGAAATGTCAGAGCCTCTCCAGAAGCTTGCAGCTTTCCTTTTCAGAGCAAATTCTCCTTTAATGAAGTTGAGTCTCCAAATACAAGCAGAAGAATCTGCTCTCATGACACTCTCCAACCACTTTATCAGCTGGTTGCCCTCTGCCTGCCGATGACAACAGTAACCGCAAACCAGGCAAGTCAGGACAGAAGAGAGTCCTCCTCTAACAGAAGCAGACAGACACCTTAATTTCATCAGTGTATGAAGGAGAATACCAACTTAATTTTGGCCTACAAGGTACCAATTTACTGAACTGTTAAAAATGTGTTCTATCCCAAGCTCTAGCTTAAAACCCAAAGCTTATTGTTCTGGACAGAGCTTCTTGTAACTGAGGAACATAATTCTTCACAGAATTAGGCAAGAGCTTGTTCATAATTAGCATTAATTTTACTTTAATAAAAAATACCATTAAAAACAATGAAATTTTGAAAAAAAATTTATTAACACTACATCTTCTCATAAGTTAGTTCATGGCCACATACAGTACATGTTTTTTTATATGTATCTTCATCAATGTTTTCTTCTGGTCCATAGTCATGTTCGTGGATACTAGATGCTTTCTTCCATAAACTACTCCTCACAGCACGGCGGAGTTCTGATGAGAAATATAAGAAAATTACAATATTTTCATAAATTTTAAATAATGGTTAATAAAACTCAAGCTAACCACCTTTCTGAGGGCTACAGATGAAAATCTCCTTGTTGCCTGGCTTCCGTAAATTGTGGGCGAGAAATCTGCTACTGCAAGAACAAGCTTTGACTTGTCCTGCAATCTTCACCATGTTTGCGCATTTTAAAGGATAAGAACTACACCGACACAAGATCTCACAGGAGATTTTCCGTCTTGACCAAGTACGTGTTGCCCACTGCCTTTTTACATTAAGCCATTCAAGGGTATCCCAAAAGGGTATGTGGAATGCAGGGGAAAAGTCTTTATAATAAACACCTCATTGTTTCACGCAACCAAGAACGAGTACTTTTCATTCAGGTCACAGTAAGCCTCCCCAATGAGCTGGCATTCTCTGAGCTTTATGCCCAACAATGTGAGTTGCCTCTGCAACAGCCATAGTGAAGTCAGCGGGTCTGCAAGAGAGCACAGGCTGGCAGCTGAGCCCAAGATATTATCCGGATGTTGCAAGTGGGTGGCAAGCATACTGAACAGCAAAACGTAGTCATGTCTTGAGCCAAGCCATTCAGGCTGCAAACTTTTGTCACGTTAAGGCCTGTACTTGCACAGAACTCTGGCACCTTGGCTACAGTCCGCTGCCAGTCCTGTGCACTGAACATCAATCGTCAGGACAGGCTATTTGCTCAGTCTGACGTTCTGCCTCCTCCAGACAATACCAGTATAGCCAGCTTGAGCTTTCTGCCTCTGTGAATGCTGACCCAAAGTGAAGCACGGAGGCGATGGGCAGCACAGACATCATCATAAGCCACAAGCCTTGCAAAGAAACAAACATGAGGTTTTCTTTCAAATTACTAGCATGTCTGTGCTGAAAGTATTTTTCAAAAGTTCTACCCATTGAATACTCTCCTAAGTATTAACTTATCAGGAAAAACCAAGGATAATGAGCAGTAAAAACAGCAGCTGGGAATACTGTGAACAGTGGGAAAAGCCATTTCCTGCTTCATTGAGAGTTATTCCACTTGAAGGCATACGTATGACAAAATGATAACCCACTGCCACAAAAATCCATGTTCTCCACAAATCAGGAAAAGTAACAAGCTATGGCACACTCTGGGTCATACCAAAAAATTTTAAAAACACCGTAACGAATGATTGTAATTTATGTCACTTACATCATGTCCATGGGACAAAAGGGTAATTCAGGTTGGAAGGGACCTCCCATCTCCAGTCAAAACCTCTGCCCAAAATAGTCAGCTATGAGGTCAGACCAGACCACTCTGGGCTTACACACACAGCTCTTGAAAACCTCCATTTTGTCACACTGAAGATCTTCTATATACTTTAATCAGGCGCAGAAACAACTTAAAAACAGTACTTTCCTTCAGGTACTGAAGGAAGTTTAACGCCTTACCTTTAACTTTCTTATCAAACTTCTTCTGTTTCATCTTTTCTCTGCTGTCACGGCGGAGTTCCTTTGCTTCTCGCAATGATTCTTCACTACCCCAGACTTCAAGAGAACGCTTGATTACCTATAGGATGGACATAAATGTGTTTCTTTTTCCCCCTGAAATGACAAAAGTAAACTATTCTAACTCACAAATTTCTTTTTTTGTCCCTACACATACACAAGCCAACCCGATCCTGCCTCTGCCTCCCGTCTGTCTCTCTGCTCTTGACCTGCAAACATGGCACTTTCCACCCTAAGAGGTAACACTAATTTTTAGTATCAGCTAGATGTAACTTCGTCAGGAAAGTCAAACCCACCTCCAATTTTTGTGCATAAAGCAGCAGCGTTCCTATTTAAGTAGCAAACAAGAAATAACAAGAGCCCTGGAAAATCTACTTGCTTTTTCCTGCTGCCTCTGAGAGCAGAGCTGCAAACATGAGACCACAGCTACAAAGGCCCACACACGGCAGCAGCTGCCTCAAGTGTTTCAGATACAGACTGAAAGGCCATACTCTTCATGACCCATGATTCTGCAAACCACTAAGGCTGCAGGCCATGAACATTCTTTAAATCTCTCGAACACATTTTCATGAATTTGGACCACGGCTCTGTAATTTTACTATGCAGAAAATTAACACAAGCTATGCATAATATACTTAGCTTTGACAAAATTCAGAAATCAGAGCCAAAGTGACACATTTTGGCTACCAAAGCTGTATGAAGGTAAAAAGAGATCCGAAATATGCTAACGTTTTTTTATACCTGTAGTTTTAAATAAAGTTTCATGTCGCCCCACCGTGAATTATGAGGGTTTTTCTTCACAATAAATCTGAGCACTGGCTCCCTCTTGTCTAAGTCACAGTCTTTAAGAAGATATTCTTCTTTTGCTTCTGTCCTTGTTATAAGCTTATGTTTATCTTCAGCATCTCTGGAAGATGTAAAGTAATGATGAGAATGCTACACCCGAAAACCACATTAGATTAACATCTAAGGCCTCATCACTTCTAACATTCCTGAAATACAGGTAGCCCTCATGCTCAAGTTTTTTATGTATGCAGGTAACTTTGGATTCCAACAATCTGGCTAATCTCCAGGACAGGTTTACTGAAACAAACTTTAAAAATTCTCCCACTGGAGCAAACACAGGCTGAGAAGCCTGTTTTTCTCAAAGGGCTTTTATTCTATTTTCTTACGAGAGGGAGTAACTGAAACTTAAAAAGAGTACAAATAATTTTAGCTATTCACCTAACCCAGATGCAATTCAAGAGGACAAAAGTACAAGCCTGACACATGGTCAGGAGAGAAAGAATGTGTAATGCGAGACAGGTCAGATCACCTGAGAATATATACACACTCCGTATGCTTCTAGCTCTCAGAAAGAGATTAGCGACACCAACTGAGCACCTGTTTCTAAGTGCAAGATAGTAGGCAGAGGAAGGAACCATAAAATAAAGACCTTAAAAGACTGTAACTTTTACCAGGCAGACAAAAAAACCCTGTGTACCCACAGCAGCATATATGACTTAAAGACATTTACGCAATCCTGACTTAAATGTAACTTGAATTGCTTGAGCCAGAACAATCTGCCAAACAGCAGCGGTCATCAAGAAGTACTGCTGTAAATGTAGCTTTGCTAGAATTTAAAGGTCACAGTAGGAGTTAATGCACCAAGGAAACTCCAAATGTTCAGCTGCAAGAGCTACTTAAGACTGAAGAAAACCACTCCTACGGCTGTGTGACCTCTTCTGTTTCCACCCATCTTACCTTCAAGAGACAGCACTTTGTCTCTTAGGACTGTGAACTGCCCACACCATGTGCACGCCCCCGACCACTCCCTGCAGTAAAGCCAGGAAGCTCTCAGAACAAACTCCAGGCCGTGTAATTTTTTTTTTCCTCCCCATTCATTCTTACACTTATGGGTGGTTGGCTGCTTCAGTTGGTTTCACTGCCCTGGTTATCTTGATGGCTTTTGGAGCGCTTTCTGTGTTAGAGATAAGGGAGCACAGAGACTGCCTTCTGCTCAAGGTCAAACTCCTGCTTACTCTGCAGGTCAACCAGTAACCTCCTGTGGGGCACTGCCCTTTGGCTGCCACGCTCCCAGCCCACTCATGGTGACCAAAGTACTAACTTCACTCGGGTTAACTCACTAGGGCAGCAAGCAGTTATTCTGTGTTCTACCAGTTTTTCAAATAGCTCCAGTCTGCAACCAGACGTTAATTTCCATGCTGACTAACACAGTAACTGCCCTCAAGACATCACATTTCCATAAGGTTACGTAAAAATCTACTTATGTCCCCTGTCCTAAGACAGGCTAACAAGACAATGGTGCCGTTCTTCACTTCCATCATGGAAAATACAGAGGTTATCAGTGAATTTCCACCTACTTTTTCACTAAGTTACTGAAAAATGTCTCTTTGCTGACAGCCTTTCTAATTAAACAGAAAGACTGTAATTAACTAAATTATAGCCAGCAATCTTTACATAAAGTTTCCCTCTCCTGATAATTTGTAATACCTGCAATTATCACATGTTGCCCAATCAAAGTGCTGCATAAGGTAGGAATCCATGAATTCTTTGCCACAGTCTCCACAGATGAGATAGTCGAATTCTAGTACAGGTGCTAAAAAGAAAATTTTTTTTTATAAAAAACTACCATGTCAAACACAAGCATCTGGAATTGGTTTTAACAAGCAGTTTTACTAAAATTTTTTTGTAGCATTTGTTACAGACTAGTTCCACTGCTCTACTGAAGTTTTCCACAAAGATACAGTACAAATTCAAACCCGTTATCACGCAATCCTGTTTCTGCTGGTGTATGTCTGTTCTTGCTAGAAGGTTCACTGTATTAAGTATTGGATTTCACCATTTAAATGCACACATTTGTTTCGACTTAGCCATTATGAACAAAAAAAAATTCACCGCATTTCCCCTTAAAGTGCTTCATATCCCCTCCTCCAGCTTCCTCCATCCTGGCCCTCCAAAGTTATGTCCTCATTTAGAGGACACACACAGGCAGGAATGAGAGGAAGGAGAGAAGGGGATGCAGTTTGAAGAGGGTGGCTAGAGCAGGAAGCAGTACAGGAGCTGCACTGGCATCAAAGTCATCTCAGCTCTGCTCCCATTTTCTTCCTAGCTCAGCCACACCTGCCTCTCCCTAAACGAGCTCAACGGAGGCCTGGGGCGGGTGGCAAGGCTCTTGTCCATTCTAGCTGGCAGAACTGGAGGTGGATGGCCAGAGAGCTGCTAGGAGTGGAATGGGGATGGAGCTCCACTACAATCCTCTCCCCAAGCCCTCTCAGCACTGCTCCAAGCCCAGACTCATTCCAGTGCGGGCCGCATCCTTGCCGGGTAGATCACCTCCAGCGTCATCGCGATCTGCTTTATGTTCCACAGGATACCAAAAAAACAATTCGGGTAACCGCAGCTATAAGCAACGTTCCATTAACATTGTAATTCTAGCAGAAAAATTAACATTTTTACACCATTTCACAAGCTAAAAGTGAGGTAATGCTGCAGAATATTAACAATACCTGAAAGACAAGATTAATGCTTGGCATGCAGCACCATACATTTTTAATCGCGTTTGCATTTATAGCAGATTCAATCCAGCAAAGACGACATTTTATGCCAGTTTGCTCCTACTAGCGACAGTGGAGCGCTCAGTACTTCACATAGTCATGCTCTTACATCACATTTCATCATTTAAGGCAGTACTCCCGAACATAAAAGGAATTTTATTAAGACAAAGATATGGTGAATTACACAGCAAAAATGCCTCCCCCATCCCCCTCCCGCACAAATGCATCCCAGATCTACTTAATTTATTATTAAACTTTAGCCCCTTAAAAGAAGTAGGGCTGCTAGTTGTTTACACTCTTAATGAAATCTGGTAATTTCTAACAAAGAGACACACTGCACCAAGAGCCCTGCAGCTCATTCAGAGTAGAACAAAGCAAGACAAAGGCAATCCCGGAGAAGTGGATCGACTTTGTGGTCCTCCTCCATTTTCTTTTTGGAAGGAGAGTATCACAAAACATTATGTCGAAATCCTCCCCCAAATGATCAGAGACTTGGCATCAGTACATTTTATAAGAATAAAAGCTGGCACTGCAGCAGTGCTCCGAAACCGGCATAAACGGTATCCACCTAAAAACGCCCCACAACCGACGAAACCGCGCAGTTCTGCCCTTATTTTAGTCTTAAAATTCAAAACCCCGAAATAAATACTGGAAATAACGTTTATCGGAAAAAAGGAAAAAAAAATTATATACCCAAGGGTAACGCCTATGTCCCACTTCGGCGGCTTAAAATTCTTCGTTTTT